AGGCAGCACCTGCAGCACCGCCAGGTGATAGCCCCCATCCCTGCCACCCCACCACTTGTAGGGAGGGGAGCTCTGCTCCCCCCATCCCACCAGTTGGGTGCTTTTAGGGATTTTTCTGAGAAGGGGAGTGAGGGCTGGAGCCAAGACCTACCTCCTGTGGTGCTGCTGGCGAGGAGAGAGGAGCTGACTACCTGTTCAGCACCCTAATTTTTGGCAGTGTCTGCAGCCATGCGAGCTCTCAGGATTCACTTTCCTGTGGATAAGGTTGCAGGTGTGGCTCTGCCTCTCTGGCTTTCCCCTGCTGTGCTCGTGGCATAAATACCGGAGCTTGGCACGGCGCACAGCACAACTCTGCTCTGGGGGACGTGTGTCCTGTGGTGTCCAGGGGTTTGGGCTGGGTGGGGACAGCCATGGGTCCACAGACATGTCCCAGGTGATGCACATCACCTCCTGTTTCAGGATAGGGGTTCTCAGCCACAGCTTGGTTCAGACCCACCAAGGCAGCCGATAAGGTCTCAACATTTGCTTTCTGAAAGGCAAACTGGGGCTCTGCAGGCAGCTCCAGGAGGATGGGAGGCAGTGGGGAGCCCCCTCACCTGGGTGGGCTCACATCCCCAGGTCGGGGATGCTGTGCCTGACCACAGCTCGGAGCACAGGAGATCACTCACTGACACTGCCCCCGAGCACGATTCACATCCAGCAGACCTGAGTGCCCAGCCCTGACCATCAGCATCACAAAACAAGTGTCCTTTACCCTAAATCCTAAAGAGGAAGAGTCAGGGCAGCCCTAGGGCCGCACATCAGCATCAGCCTGGGGTCAGCAGGTATCGGCCGCCCAGCAACGCCGCTGCCTCTTGCTGGCAGTGAAAGTCCCTGGGAAATGGAGCTGCTCTCCGTGTTTTCCCCTATCCCGCTCCTTTCCAACTGAAGTTTTAAAAAAAGTAGATATTGATTGATTTTTTGTAATCACTAGTTTGTTATTTTTAGGCTACTGCTGTCTAAGAGACAGACAGCTAACCGCAGCTTCCCCATGACGAGCGCGTTCGCATTCTTTGGAGAAAAGGAGAAAATCAGTTTTCTCAAGCCTCTCTTGTTCCTGCTCAAAAATCTAGCTCGGGGACACCCCATCTCACTCTCAGCAGTTTGTTTTTACTCCAAAAGCACAAACTCCCAGCCCCGACAGACAGATCTCTTCCTCTCGGCATGAAGCCCCACCGAGCCAAGGGCCCGCGGGTTTGGATAGAAATTCGGCTGGTGCCCCCCACCTTCCTCCAGTTACCACAGCCAGAAATCAGTTTTCAGACTGGGAAAATGTAGATTTTTTTTGTGTGCCTTTGGGAAAAAAAAATAAATCTCTGAATATAGTTTTGAGTTGGACTTAAATGTATGTATAGGCTGATTTTAAAATTACCAACGTAAGAAAATGTTTCTGAGCAATGGACACGAGCAAGGGCAAAGAAACTACGTCCTAATCTTGGGTGAGCACTGTTATATCAAACTAAAAGTTTCCTAACGTAACTAAGGCCAAAAATAACAAACGATAATAGCAGAAGTAACAATAATTATAATAAAACCAGAGTCCCAGCTAGTTTCACAAATAAAAGTTCTGCAGAAACAGAGACAATCTGGAAGATCCGATTCCAGCAGAAGCTTGTTGTGATAATCTGTTGCTTTCCGTACTTTTTTCTTTGCTTACTATCCACTAAAAAATGTTTTCAAAAAATCTAGCTTTCATCCCCAAATCAAGATCCTTTCATTTATAAAATCTCAAACCGGGATATTCCAATAATTTCAAGTCTTACTTCACGAGAGTTTTCTCAAGCAGGCGCTGGTGGAAGCTCGGCGTCGCACAAAGAAATCGGCGTCGCTCCACTGGCATTTTTCTGGCAGAAAGCAAAAAAGATTAATTTAAGGAGTTCCAGCTGTCCCAGTGCACCAGACAGGATTCGCTTTTTCATGTAACCCAAACAACGTTCCACAAAAACAGTTCTGGGTTTTGCCAGTGAACTTGATTTCCCTATGGGACCACGCACCCTACTGTGAGCTCCCATAGCCATCCCACATGAGCTCCAAGCACTGATTTTAAGCCCCACGGGGCACGAGCTAATTACGAGCACATCCGAATTGATAGCAGAAGCAGCAGCAAGATCAGGTTGCTGATGAGGGGTGTTACAAAAATACCTATTCACAGTCCCAACGAGGTCGGGAAAACGATCTCATGCATGGCAGGAGCGGAGTTTCTCTTTACTCTTAATCACAGCAAGTTATATCAGAGATGACGCACACTTGCCTGCTCTTCCTGCCACAGCTGCCAGGTACAGGTGACCCTCGTAGTCATTGCCAGACAGCTTCAGACCAACAAGAAAAACCCACAGGTAGGACAGGAGAGCCCAAGGGAGGCTGCACGCCCCCTCGTACTGTGCCCCTGTTGGTGCTAGCACAGGGGCGCACTCACCACCACGTGCCTGGGGGCACAGCCCCGGACAAAGCCCCCCCTAACCCTCACCCGTGGCCAGTTTCTGGCAAATATGAGACAGCTGATCCTCGTTTGGATGACTCGCCTGCTTAGCTAATTGGTTCGATGGGGGCCAGACCTCTCCTCCCTCATGCCCACAGAGCTGGGACCAAGCCCAGACGACCGCAGCACGTCCAGCTGGGCTTCGTCTCCTCCAGCTCCGCACAGATGTTCGGTATTCCTTTTGCTCCTGCATGGCTAGCATCCCCCCCCATCCCCAAATTTTGCCTTTGGAAGCTCAGCACCTCCGCAGCTGAGCCCACACAACCCATTGCTCTCGGTCACCCACGGCCACCCGGCGATGTCTCTGGGTGCTCCGTGTTGCACCCCAGCTTTCCCCTCCAACAAAAGTTGTCCCTACCTGGCTTTGCACCTCCTCGAGACGGGCAGGCGAACGCTGGAAAAACCTCTTGCACCACCTCTGGTTTCACGTTTGGGCTTTGCTACGTTTTGAGATACGCGGAGGTGGGAAATGCCTTTCAATGCTTCGCAGTGCGTTTGTGGTCCTGTTCCCAAGCAGGCACAATACGAGAAGTGAAATCAGCCTTCAGTGTGGTATGGATGGCCCCAGGATATGTCTGAGGTGATGTCAGTCTACAAAACGTATAATTATATGTCACCGTTTCGTGTCATTGCTTATTGATTTAATTCCATCATATTTCAGGCAACTTTCATTGTCTGGGTACAGTTCATCATGTTAATAACTGGAAGCATGTATGCAGATAGCAAAAAAAAAAACCCTCCTGCGACTAAACCGATTCTAAAAATGAATCCAGGAGAAATATTTGAACAGAAACCCCTTCCAGCAGCAATTGTTCCAAGAACAAGAAAGACCGGACGAGAATTTTTCTGGTTCCAACACTACCTATATTGTCGTTGCGTATCAAGATTTCTTTTTTTCTTTTTTGGTCTTTTTTTAAAACAGGAAAGATTGATAAGAAAAGGAGGAAGTCAACAGTTTTTAGAACAAGGTGTAGCTAAAGATTGTATTTAAACGCATGCCCTCGGGTGTGCATTATCATACGTTCGACTTCGCCGGGAAACATTTTGGAATATGAAATGAATAATGTGGATATTATAAAATGGTTGTCTCGGAATTAAATTGTAAGATATTGATGTGTCATAATAATAAAATAGAAAACACTTTTAATATCAGCGGTGAGCACCGTGATCCCTTCTTTATTTATTTTGTGGTTGGTGTTTTTTTTTTTTTTTCCTGCACAAAAACCTTGGAAAGGAAAGCGAGCAGAGCCCCACGCTGTGAGCCATCCCAGCCCTGCACACGGCGATGCCTCCGCAAGGATTAAGCACTAAGCACGGCATTCTCTTTGCAGCCAAAGTTGGGCACATATTAAATAAGTAGCTTAATCAGCTCTTAAAAATCTGTCTGTGGTACGAAACAGAATTCAAACAAAAGACCTCTGTCAAAGTTATCTTGGAAAAAAAAAAATACAAGCTATGTTATTTATCTTTTTTTTTTTTTTTTGTAAGCAGGTATCTTTTTAAAGACATCCCCAGAAATTTGTGGTCTGTGTATTTTACTTATTTTCCCACGTTTTCTCTTGTTTTTTTTTGTTTGTTTGTTTTTGGCTTCTTGTCTCTCCACCTCTGCAGATGTTTCTCTGCGTTCACTTGCGTGTTGGACTGAAGGATGGGTAGGAAAAGCCTGAAGCACCATAAATTTGGAACCCAACTCCACAATAATTGATTTTGAAAAAATAATAATAATAATAAAAAATAGCTTATACCTACACTCTCCTAACAATCTCCAGAGGAGCTTTCCCCAAGGACTGAGTTTGGGTCCTGCAGCAGCTGGGGCTGTTTTATTGTGCACCCCACAAGACCAAGGGCAAGAGCTGGGGGCTGGCCGAGTTTGCAGCCCCCTCCTCGCACATCCTCTGCCCAGCAGTTCCCAGCACCTGAAGGAAATGCCAGGCTGAAGGCAAGGCCACGTCCCTGGCCATGAGCCTGGGAGCATCCCCTGAGGAAACCAGGGAGAATTTTTCCCCCGGTGGGGTTTTCTTCTGCCTGGCTAGGGACGGTGCCCCGGAATAAAGCTGAGCACAGACAAAAAAATAGTCCCAAAAATAATCCCCTGCCAGGCTGTGTCTAAAACGTTGGAGATTCCTTTATCCTCAGCCCCACTTCTGCACAAAATCCTGGACGCCAACACCGAGGTGAGCGCCGTGGGTCCCGCTCAGGGAATTTCCCCCACGCGTGCAGGAGGCGCACCCAGGGATGGGATCAAACCAGGTGCTGCTCGGAGCCTGAAAACGGCTCCAGGACGAGGAATTAAAATACCCCCTGTTATCGCCAGAGCTTCCCGAGCCGAGGGGACTTGAGCAAAGTCAGAAGGAAATGCTAATGCTATTTTCATCCTAAACAAATAGAGGAGGCTGCAGCGCTCGCTCCGATCTGCTGGCTCCTCTCGGGGAGCTAATAGGCAGGGAAGAGCAAGGCATGAAATGATTTATTCAGTACCCTGGAGATTATTATTTTTTTTTTATTTTCCTTTTCGTTTCCACATAAATTACACAAGCACTTTATAAAATGAATACACGTAAAACACCGTAGAAGTGCATAACTTAAAAAACAAACGAACAAACAAACGAATGCCTTTTAAAATCTCGCTGAAAATAGGATTTCTGATCGCTCGTTTGTGCTAGCTGTTTAAATTGGCAGTGCTGATTTAGATTATAAGTAACCAAAAAATATATACTGTATATATATATATCTATATATTCCTGGCCTTTGCTATAGGAAGTGCTTTGTTTAATTGTGTCTCATTCCCTCGGTTAAAGAAACAACGAAGTCGGGAGTGAAATCGGATCGCTTTTTGCCCTCGCGAACTGCCTCATCAAGGAAAACAGGGAAAACGAAAACACCGGACAGCATTTTGCAAATGATATGGAAATAAACCCATCGAAAGAAACCGCGTTACCCCTGCCAACTGCCACCGAGGTCTTCTTGTTATTAAAACGCAGGCTTGATCGGCGCCGAGTCCGTGGCAGCCGGGGACAGTTTGGGCTCTTCCTGCGATTGAGCTATCACGTTTACCGTCCTCAGGAGTCTGTCAGTTCCTCGGCTTATTCCCCCCTCGCACGAAAAAATTAATGAAAAAGGGGAGGAGACACGGCTAGGTGAGATCCGAAGGGTTCGCATCTGTCGCCAGCAGAAATTGCTGCCGGGAGGAGAAAAATAAAATAATAATAAAAATAAAAATAAAATCAAAAAGCCGGGTTGTTTCCTCCATTTGTTGCATCCCCAAAACGTCTCCAGCGCCAACGGCCCGGCACAACGCCTGGCTGCAGGAACGCGCTTCCCAGGGAGCCTCGTCCTTTTGTCTCCATCAGTCCGAAGGGTGTCTGTGTGTATATATATATGGGATTTATATATACACATAGGGACCTATAGGGGTGCCCCGAGCCCTGCAGAACCCAGAGGAAGTTTTCCCCCCAAGCTGGGCGCTTGCCCGCAGCCGCGTCTGTCAAGGCTCAGCTTTTGTCTGGCAGCGCGTCAGGAAGTTCGTGGTCGGCACCGGAGACTTTGGGAAGAACAAAAGGGTTGGGGGGGAGGCGAGACGACACCGCTGCTCCGGCAGCCCCACGGGCGGGGAGAGTTTTTGGGGTGGTTTTCCCCTCCCGTCAGTCCTCGCCCTTTGCTCCGTGGGACGCACGTGTGGCCGGAGGCGGCGGCGACAAAAGGGGGACGCCGAAGGTGCCGAGCCTTTACTCGCAGGCGGAGGCGACGGTGGTGACGCTGGTGATCTTGGTGGAGTCGTCGGACCAGGGCTGGAGGTTCTGCAGGGCGAAGAGAGAGGAGTTGTGGACGCAGATGGGGTCGGCTTGGATGGGCTGGTTGATGGTTTTTTGGAAGGCCTCCTGCTGCAGCTGCATCAGGATGCGGTTCGCTTGCTGCCGCTCGGCCTCCCGCTCCTCCGCCGTCTGCCTCCTAGGAGAGAGGCAGCCATCAGGGGGGCCGGGGGGAGGGAAAAAATTGGGTCAGGGCTGGGGACACGGCCACAAACCGGTCCCATGGCCCCTACAAGCATTGCTGGTGTCCCCCATGCGCTAGGGGTTGAGGCCGTCTTGGTGGCCCCGAGGAAAATTGCTCCCAGCTCAGCAGGCAAAGGCACCGAGCCCAGGGTCACAGCCCCTGCTCCCCTCCTTTTTCTGCCCCAAACACCCAAAAAGGGTCAAGATGGGGCTGCAAAGGTTGCGATTCCCTGCAAGGCAGCAGCCGGGCAGGATGCCCCAGAGAGAACCACGGGGCAGGGAGTGGGGCCATGGGGATGGGGTCGGGCGAAACGTGGCCAAGTGGCAGTGCCAGGTGGCCAGAGGCAAGTAGCATCCCCCTGGGGCCGTGCCAGCCCCTTCCCCATGCCCCAAGAGCCCTCTCCTCTGCTGGACCCTGGCCAGCTGGCGGGAGATGAAGGCAACGAGACACCCGTGGCGGGTAGGGCAAAACTCACACACGGTGCGAGTGGTAAAATGCAGGATCAACACTTAGGGAAACGCGTTTTCAGCGGCGAGAACAATCAAAGGGCCAGAATACGCCGTCTGGGCAGGGCGGAGGAGGAAATTTTTCAGAACAGGTTGGACACGCGTCTGTCTGGAATGACAGAGGCAGAGCCCAACCCGCCGGGGGGGGGATTAGGGGCCGGCGGAGGTCCCAGCCACCTCCGCCAGGGTCCAAGCCCCGGATTGCCTGGGAGGAGGGGATGGGAGAGGAATGGCCTGAATGTGCTTAAATCCACAACGAAAATCCCACCTCCCCTCTCCTCCACGGCGGGTCGGCCCGGAGGCTGCAGCTCGTGGTCACCTTGGCTCTGACCCGGAGCATCCCTGGCACCCTGAGCACCCCCAGCCCACGCTCCCCTGGCAGTTCCAGCAGATCAACGATGAGGGAAAAGGCAGTTTTTTAATTTAGCAGCCCGTGGGGAACAAGATACATCTCGTTTTCTTTCTCCATAGGGATTTTCAGCGGCAGCTCCGTGCGGCACGCGGGAGCGGGGCTGGGGTCCCGGTGAGGGCTGCGTGGGGCCGGGGCTGCAGACGCCAGGCGTGCGCTGGGAGCAGGCAGCTCGGGGTCGGTCCCTGCTCTCATCACGGTGTCAGCATCTCACCGTGTCACACATCCCGGGGAGAGGGGACTCGCAGCAGCGGCTCGGTCCCCGCTGCCATGAATATTTCATGGCTCCCCGCACAATGAAGAGATGCTCCCGGGAGGAGCGAGGGGGAGAGCCCCACGTCCAGGGGGCTGCCAGCACCTGGCCGGGGTGCTCGTGGTTTTCGCCTCAGGCTGGGGTTTGCAGTTCGAATCTGCTCGGTCAGAGGGAGGAATTAAACCTCGATGCCTCTCAAGCGAGCCCCCAAACCTGGGGAGGGGACAACGCAGCCACCCCAATCCCATGGATGCGCCCAGCGAAGGGGCTCCATGCAGAAGCACGACTCTCCCCCCAGCCCACATTTTTTTAAGCACTTCAATCCTTCAAAAGGCTTAAAGCAACTCTATTTTCTTAAATATTCCTGGCTGCCCGCACCCCCTGCTCGCTCCTGCCAGCACCCAGAGCTCACCCAGCCCCGGGGGGCTGCAGGGGGTGTGCTGAAGGCCACGCACCCACACCCTCTGCTGCAACACCCGATGTCCACAGGCACCAAGGAGCAGAGCTTCCACACCTCCGTCCCTCTGGGCCAGTGGGGATTCTCCCTTGTCTCCTGCTACAGCTGAGGTCAGGCTGCAGATTTTCCCTTAGACACAACCAGTCATTTATTTCTCTTCACCCAGCTATTTTTTTTTTTTTGTGTGTGTGTGTGTGTCAGGCACATGAATAGGTTTGTATCCTCTGCTCCTCTGCCAAAGGGGGCCGAACTTAGCCAACAGACGCAAGGAGTATTGACAGACAGAAGGAGAGGCAGCCAAGCCGCATTTGCCTCACTTCCTTAGGAAACCAGGTTAGAAGACACGGCTGACCCTGCTGTGCAGGCCGCGGCAGGATTGTTCCTCCTCCTCCTCCAGGACTTTGCTCCTGGCTCACAAAAATCCCTCCAGCCCGACACTTCCTGGCTCTCGGGGAGCTCCGCGGCTCCCTGGGCTCTTTAGGGAAGGACCCGCTGCAGGGGGGTCACCCACACCCTGGGTTTCAGTTTCCTCATCGCTGCCCCACGCAGCCCCTGGGGAATCCCGTTTGCCCCCCACATTGGAGAAATTGTAGGGACGGCCAGGCTTGAAGCCTGAACTTGCAAAATACCCAAGCTCGGCTTGGATTTCCCTCTGAGGGATTCAACGACCTGCCGGGGAGCTGCTGCTCCTCCCCAGCCTTGCAGCCTGCCTGTCCCCACCTGGGACAGGACAAGGGGTGCTCCGGGTGCCTCTCCGGGGACACCCCAGGGGAGCTGCAATGCGGGACAGAAGCTGGGAGCCTCTGCCAGAGCCCGGCCTCCTCCTCCTCTCCTGCCCGTGTTTACTGCCACGTCCAGGAGGAAAAAAAAGCACTCAAAGAGGTGCAGAAAGCTCCACAAGGATCAAAATTTGAGCTTTACGCAGCTTTTATACAATATCCCGGTAAGCTGAGGTGCAGGATCCAGCTCAGGCTGGCTCTGCCCCAGTCCCATCTAACACAGGAGGGTCCTAAAGGGTCTCAGTGCAGCCGCATACCTGCCCTAAAGCTGCAGCCACCGCTCCCCAGCAGCCCCCCGAGGGCTCCCCGCCGGGCTGGGGTCCCACACAGAGCACCCTGGGGGACACGGCACGTCCCCCCCGCCGTGCACGCACCCAGTGCACACTCACAGCGTGCCTGCTGCCCGTAATATCTCCCATGTGCATGCACACACTTCCACACACACACCCCCCCTTGCACGCACACCCTGAGCGCACACACTCCGAATGCACACCGCGTTCGGCGTGCACACACCCGGCTCGCACACGCACCCACATGCACGGTCACACGGAGGCACACGCGTACCCTGCACGTGCGCACACCCACGGACCCACGGCCTACACACAAACACGCTCACAAAACCTGCACACCAAGCACGCATCCGTACCCACCGGCACCGCGTGCACACACACGGTGCGTGCACACGGGGATTTCCACACCCGTGCGCGCACGAGGACCCCCTGGCCCCTCACCTCCACTTGGTGCGCCGGTTCTGGAACCAGGTCTTCACCTGCGCGTCCGTCATCTTCAGGGCTTTGGCCAGGGCAGCGCGTTCGGCCGAGGCCAGGTACTTCTGGCGGTGGAAGCGCTTCTCCAGCTCGCAGATCTGCAGGCGGGTGAAGGACGTGCGCGGCTTCTTCTTCTTGGGGGGCGTGCGGTTCTGGTAGGGGTGACCTATACGGCGTGTTACAGTGAAGGGTGAGAGGGCCACTGGGGGGGACACGGGAGGAGGGGATGAGAGGTAAAGAAGCAAGCAGCGACACATCAGCAGAGGGGATCCGGCTCCCGGGCGCTGGGCTGGGGGGGTTGGGGACCCCCCCCTGCTGCACGGATCGCGGTCCCGGTACCGAGCACCGCCCGTGCCGCCATCCCGGGCCTTCCCCGGGGCTGGAGAGCCCGGAGCTGGGCTGCGGGCACCCACCGGGCACGGCGGGGGAGGCGGCTCCTTGCTCGGCTTTGTCCCAGGAAAAAGGGTCGGGGCTTGAGGAGGGGGGGACGGGACAAACCCGCAGCCCTAAAGCGCGGAGAAATCCGAAAAACCCCAAGCAAAAAAATGAAAGGGAGAGGGGGGGGCGCTTTGGGAAAGAAACGAAAAAGCGGGGACCAAGAGCGGCAGAGCGGGGGGGCTTGGCGGGGAGGGGGGCACGGCACAGCGGGGTCTGGCCCGGTGCCTCCCGGCCCCCTGGTTCCGCGCCCCGTGTGAACGGGAACCGGGGGAAATTCGTTTCGGCGAGGCGGGCACCGCCGCCGCCCTCGGCCCGATCGTTTCGTAGCCGGGAAATAACTTCCCGGGCTGGAACCGGGACTCGCGTTTCGTTTGGGTTTGCTTTTCTTCTTATCCCACGAAAAAAAAAATAAAAAGTATAATAATTATAATTATCATTCGATAAAACCCGCGGTGGTTGCGAGCGCTGCCGGGCCGGGAAGGGCTGGAGGAAAATAAACCCGGCGGCTCCCGGGGACAATCCGGGGACAATGTCCGTCTGTCCGTCCCCGGCGGAGCCAAGTCGGAACGGATCGAAATGAAACGGGAACTTGCAAAAACGAGGCCCGGGTCGGTCCCGAGGTAAAGGAGCCGGGCCGGGCGCGGCGGGAGCGGGGAAGGCGCTTTCCCCGTTACGATTTCGTTGTTTTGCTTTTTTTTTTTTTTCTCTCCATTTTCGTTATGGGAGCTTTGGCTTTGTTAGCACCGAAAGCCGAGCGCGGGTCCACCTGGAAAAGGCGGCGGCGGCGGCTTCGGAAAGCGGCTCCGAGCAGAGCCCGGCTCGGTTTGGGGTTGCCAAAAATCCGCTGTGGTTGGGGACAAGGCAGAGCCGTAGCGGGACAAGGGGACACACGGGACAGACCGAGATGGGGCTGCCTGCCCGGGAGGGCCAAGGCCGGGGCCGCCGGGCTCCTCCCGGGCCGTGCCGTGCCTCCTCCGCAGCCCCAGTGTTTTTTTTAGGGGAAACTTGCTGCGCCCGGGTGGCGGGGACGCGGGGAGAGGGTGGCCGTACCCGGGGTTTGCGGAGTTTTCCGCCTTTCCCGGGAAATTGAAAAAAAATAATAATTATTATTATAGTAATAGTAATAATAAGGTATTTAGGGGTGCCCGAAATCGCCCGATTTTCCACCCTTTCTTGCTCCTGGCCTGCTCCGGGACCCTCCGCCCCATGGCGGTGCGGGGCGCGCTCACCCGCCCGGGGCCGGCTCCGATTTTCCCCGGCGGGCACCGGCGATTTGGGGGAACGGGAGCAGGGAGGAGAGGGGGGTTCCCGGTGTCCCGACTCACCTGTGAACCTGTCTTTTGTGTACCGCCTGTTGCTCTCCATCCAGGGGAAGGTGAGCCCGGTGAGGCTGTTGACGCCGTTCACCGGCGGCACGGCGGCGGAGAGGGGCTGGTGCACGCCGCCGGTAACGGGCCGGTGGGCCGGGACGCGGATCACCCCCCCGGCCGAGCTCAAGGCGTTGCCGTTCATGCTCACCGCCATGTTCACGTTATAGGAACCGGGCAGGGCCCCCATACTGCACGAGGTGCCGGTGTAAGCTCCGGCCGAGCCGCCGCCGGTCCCGTAGCCGCCGGTGACCGTGTTGTAGGCGCTGCCCACGATGCAGCCCAGGCCGTAATCCGCCGAGTCCTGCAGCCGCGGGTGCGAAACCATGCAGCTGCCCGGCTCCGACGTGTTGAGGATCTGGTCGATGCCGAAGCTGATGGGCTCGGCTTGCCCTTGGTGCAGGTGGTGAGCCCCTAAGTGCTCCATGCCGGCCCCCCCGCAGCCCGGCCACGGCCGCCGTGGGCTCAGCACCGGGCTCGGCTCCGCGCCCACGGCACCGACACGCGGCGGAGCCACGCGTGACCGAGGCGCGCTCACGCCTTTAGGCTCTCAAGCCCATCGCGCCGCAGCCTGCGCGCCCCGGGACACCGCGACAGAGCCACCACTCGCGACAGAATCCACGCGCGACAGAGCCATGCGAGGTGGGGACACGCGTGCTGCGCACCCCCACGCCGCTCCCGACCGCCTCGCTCAGCCCCGAGCCACGATCGTGGCGAGCTCAGCGGGGTCCCCAACCCCACAATGCCCCCAACCCCCAAATCCCCCCGGCCCTACAAGCTCCCCCCCGGCCCTACAAGCTCCCCCCGGCCCTACAAGCTCCCCCCCGGCCCTACAAGCTCCCCCCCGGCCACAGCGCTGCCCCCTCGCCACCCCAAGCCCACCGCCACCACCCCGAGCCGGGGCCACCCCTGGCACCCGTGGGGACGCGGCCACCCGACGGCGCGCCCGGCCGGCCCGGGGCCCTTCGGCCGTCGGTGGCGGTGCTGAGCCGGAGCCCCGCGGTGCGGTGCGGAGCGGAGCGCTGCGGAGTGCGAGTGCGAGCGCCCCGCCGTCCTGTTTGCCCATCAATCACGCTACCCCAGGCCTGCTGCTCCCAGGCCCTCACTCTCCATTGGCTGGATGCTGAAAGGAGCCGAGTGAATGACAGCGGAGAGGAGCACACGAGAAAAGGAGTTGCTTCTTCCCCGGCCTCCCCCCGCCTCGGAAAATAATAATAAATTAAAAATAAAAAAATAAAAAAAAATAAAATAATCCACCGCCCGGCTCGGCTTTAGGAAGGCAGAGCGGCTGCGCCGGGTGCACGCAGGGCAGGGCTTGGATTTTGGGGTGGGCAAGGGAGAGGCGAGCAGCCTGTGTCCCTGCTGTCCCCAAGCTGCTGGCACCCGTGGGACCCGCTCCGGGGGCAGGAGGGGGGCATTTGGTCCCCGAGCTGGTGGTGGATGGGCCCAGCCAAGGGGAAGCGAGCAACAGCTTCAGTGCAGGGCCTCGGCTCGCCCCCGCCGTGCCCCGGTTCCCCAGATGGGTTTTGTCAAGTTCAACAGGCTGCGCCTCCCAAAATGCTAAGGAGAAGGAGGGGGGGTGCCCCCAGCTCCAGACCCCTGAGTGGAGGCGTGGGGCTGGGCTGGAGGGCACCCACGGGTGCCCAGGCCTGGAGGGAGTTGCTCCATGGAAAGGGACACGGGCAAAATTCCCACCCCGAGAACTGCTGTGGGGTTCTTGTGGGGTCTCATCACCCCCAGGGTGCAGGTTGGCCCCGCTGCTCCCTGTGGGATGGGGGCTGAACGGGCACCCGCTGCTCCCAGCTGTGGCCTGCCCACAGGGAGATGAGCATTTTTGTTTAAGGAAAATAATAATAATAATTAATTAAGATTAAAAAGTGAAAGCTGCTGCTGGGATTTTGCTGCAAAACTTGTTTTGACTCTGTTCTCAGTGCGCCCACTCCGTACAGCTGATCCCAACTCTCTGGGTCTGCAGTGCGCTGGGGGCTTAGTGCCCACGGGGAGTGGGGGGACACGTCCCACATGGTATGAACACAACGGCACGCAGACTCTAAGATATTCTGCTGTGCTCTCCATTCACCTCCTCGCTCACTAGCATGGGTGTATTCCCTATGTGAATCCTCACAAACATCCCCTGCTCCATCTCCCCAAGGTGCTCACAACCCCCTTGCACACTCACCAGCACCCACGCTGCCCCACAATAATCCCATACCTACACAATATCTCGCATGCACACCTGCATCTTTGCACATTCAATACCCCCAAACACCCCACTCTCAGACACACAGCCCTGCTGTGACACCCCCAGACCCCCACTGGGGACCCTCCCATCACCGTGACCCTACAGCAGGGACACCACAGGGACACCACAGGGGCAGCAGCAGCTCACAGCCACCCCTCAGCCCCATGCCCAGCGCGGTGCCCGGTGCCTGGCCAGCCAGTCCCCCCCCCTCCTGCTGGGGTCAGGTTTCCCCCCTCCCCATACCTGCCTCAGTTCTTGACTTCTGAACTCTTCAGGGAACTCGCTGGCGCCAGCTCCATCAACCAAAGTCCTTGTGGTTAGGAGGAGCTGGGAGGGGAGGGAGGGAGGGAGCGAGGTCCTGGGGGCTGCCCCCAGGCAGGGGCTTTCTTGTGTGTCCCCCCCCCAGGCCGCAGCTGCCTTCATCCTTCTGCAGAGACCAGCCTGGGCCTCTTCTCCAGCCCCTTTCTGTGCAAGGAACATGGGGCAGCCCCAATAGGGACACGGGGTCCCTGCTGGTGAACCCTGACACCCAGGGGGACCCAGCTCTGCTGGCAGGTCCTGGGGGGTGCCCTCTCTCCAGCAAATAACACAGCCCTCACATGCTGCTGGTGCATCCCGAAAGCCCCAGTCGATGCTGGACAAAGCCTCTGGGCGTCCCTGCACGATCCCCCAGCCTGAGCAGATGCTGGGGGCCCCGGGGACTGGCCCCAAGAAATCACAAGGTCAGCACCAGTGAGCCAGGCTGGCTGCCGAGTGCCACAACCCCCAGCTGCTGGGCCCGAAGTTGGGGCTTTGGGGTGATAAAACCAGGAGAGGGACCAGGGTAAGGCAGGGTTTGGGGAGGACAATGGGTCAGGGAGGCAGAGCTGGATCCCAGCTGGGAGCTGAGACCCCTGGAAGTGGATAGGAATTATCAGTGGGTTACAGGATGATGCACGGCCCCAGGATTTAATTCCTGCACAAGGCACAGATCTCCCCTGCAGCCCTGGCAAAGCCACACGGCTCCTGGCATTTGGAAGTTTGGGCACTGCTCATCTCAGCCCCGGGGCAACACCCGGTTCAGGTGCTCCAGCTAAAATTGCTCCTGGCCTCAGTTTCCCCATGGGCTGACCCTATGAAAGCTGCCAGCTCTTTCACAGCCCCTGCATCCAAGTCACAAATTCGGGGGCCAAGGGGGGCTCGCACACAGCTCTGCGAGTTCCCACAGCCGGACAAGTCAGGGCCGGTCTCGGTGCTTTCATCTTCACGTCCCCACAGGAGAGTTTAGGAGGATCAGCACCCGCTTTGAGGTGCACCCAGTGAGCCTACAAACGGGTGGCCCGGTGGCAGAGGCACCCCAGGACCGCCTGCCCGCTGCTCGGAGGCAGATCCCCACCTGCCGAGGGCTGGGTTTGTCTGCCTCTGGAGGGCAGAAAATAATTCAGAGATCCCTCTCCAAGCAGAGCCCAGGTAGAAAGGCATTCTCAGATGTTTGCCCAAAGATCTAAGTAGGGCGGGGGGGGGTCTCTTCTGGCCAGAGGAATCATTTTCTGCAGGCAGCAGCAACAAGCTGGATCAGCCCTCTTCGGAGGCAGAGGAAGCCTCCAAAGCTCCCGCTGACTCAGGCACGAAATTCTTGCAAAATCAGTGCGTGGAGGAGCCTCGTGCCCTCCCTCTCTGCTTCTCCAGAACATCTCACCCCCTCCCAGCACCCAGGGACGCTGCCACGCTCCCGACAGCCCTGAAACTTCTCTCCCCATTCACCTGTCCCCAATGGGGAAGGTGAACCCCAGTGGGACCTGCTCGTTTCTAAAGCAATGGTTCAATCCTGCCCCAATTTGGGGTTCAGGACTGGGTTTATCCGTGCTAGGAGATGGCAGCGGAGATGAGAGCCCCCCCCTCTCCCCTCCCCACAAAGGCTTGGGACCCTTTCTCAGGTTTTCCCATTGATCCGGTGCATCTGCCTCCTGCAGCGGGGAGGGGGACAGCCCAGCCGGGGCCTGACCTCCACCCTCTGCTCCCATTTTCTCCCATTTTCTCCCCACTTTGCTGAATTCCGAGGGCTTTCAGCCACCGATCTCCTCGGAGAAGAGCCCCCAACGGGCTGAGCACCGCGGTGCGGAGCTGCCCCCACCCCAGGCAGCTGCTGGCCATGGAGGGGGGGGGCTGTCCCCAAAACCCTCCTGCGGGGAGCAGGGACAAAAGTGGCACGCCTGACACCTTGGCAGGGGCCCAGCAAAACGCGCTGCTCTTGCTCCAAAGCCTGCGTTTGGAGCAGAGCTTTGAGGCAAACTTGCAAAACCCTCCCTATTTCCTAAAAGGAGGGCGAAAAGCCCCCTCCCACCCCCCCCGCGGTGCCAGCAGGGCGCTGCCCGGCTCCTTCCCTTCCTCATTTCTTTTTATTTCCATTTATTCCCTTCTGCTGGGGGCTCTCCGTCACTTTCTGAAGTTCTTTCCCTCCCTCCCCATCCCCTGCGAAACCGATTCCGAGGGAGAAACCCAGAACCCGTGCGGGGACGCTGCCTTATCGCGACACCCCCGGCGTGTCGCGACAGCGGCCGGTGCCGATGCCGAGCGGCGGGCCCTCTGCCCCCAGAGCCGCAGCAGCCGAAGCCGTGAGGATTTTGGGGCTCTAAATCTCGTTTCCCGCATTTTCCCATCGAAAAACACCCCCCACACACACACATACCCACCCCCCCGTCGGGGCCAGCAGCGGCGTTTCTGCGCCTCGCCGCCGTCCGCGGGCAGGGCACCAGCAGCAATTAACACCATTTGGGGAATTTTTAATTGCTCGATAAAGCACGCTGTAAATAATTACTCCCAGCTCCGGTGATCCCTCGAACGGGCGCGCTGACAGTTGTAATTTATGGCTTTTGGAAGCGTGGCCCCCCCCTCCCCACATCCAGGATAGCTCCTTATTACGGTAATGACTTAGCGCCGCTGCACTTAATGAGTATAAAGTGCCCGGAGACGCGGCACCGCGCAAACTTCACCCGCAACCATATTTCTCCCGCTTTATGGTTACAAACGACCCCAAAACGGCTGCGGGTTAAGGCTGCGGGGCCGGGGGGGGAGCTGCTCGGTGCCGTGACCCCCCCCCAGTCCCCATCCCTGCGCGGGGACAGCTCCGCGCAACAGGACAGAGCCCCCCCGGACTGGGTCCCCGTGGGAGGGACGAAGTGGGGGGTGAAAAAATATTCACCCCATGAATATGCAACACCCCCTCTCGCAGGGGGAGCATCTGCCGGGAAGTTATTGGTCCTGCAGCCCCAGCCCCTCTGTTTCCCCCCCCCCCCGCGCAGCACCGCGTGTAATCCCATTAGCCCCCTTCCCCTTGGCCACCAGCCCCGCTAATGAACGGCGGCTGGTCGCCATCACCCCCCCGGGGGCACCGAGGGACACCGGGGGCTCTGCCCCGTTATTAACTCCCGGCTTAATTACACCGCATCCCCCCCCCTCCCCACCCCCCAGTTAATTTCGGTTCCGCGCTGGGCAATGGGGTAAAGGAAGATGGGTAGGTTGGGGGGACCCGCACCCCCCGCTCCG